ACACCCCCTTAAATCCACACGGAACCCATTTCTCTCACTAATGTCTGGACTTAAGTTCCTCCGCTCTGCTCCGGAAAAAAAATTTCTTTGCCGCTCATTGTTGGAAAGAAAAAAATTCCATTGATTTTTATTTATAGTTAATCAGTTTAGTCAGATGAGAACGTATTATAAGCCATTATGGACCGAGGACTGGAAATCATTAGTTATTGACGGTCTTGGTTTTTTCAGAGACTGATCCATCACTATTAAACGCGAAATGTAATTAAGTTCGCACTAACTAGCGACAAGATATTGAAACTCCGTCCTATAATTCAATAAATAACTACCTTTATTATTAGTTCAATTGTGTAAACTAAAAGAGCACAAGAGAACAAAGGTTAAATGTAGCTATAAAAATTGTATATCGAGATACGAATATACATATGTACCATTCGTGATATGCCATCAGATAGGACACTACACACAGTGGAATAACCATAAATTATTCATACACAACATTAATTCTATTTTTTTAATCAAGGCTCACTCGCAAATGCCTAGATAAAAGTTTTATAACATGAAATAAATGATTACACAACAAACTACAATTAATACCCAAAACAATCCACACACGATACAAAGATATTTCCAGCGACTTATTTCACCTCTTGGTATTCCTTCAGAATAATCTTCAAGATATAAGTCATTATCATTTTGATTGTTAAAGCTTATATTTTCACCTTCTGGGGTAAAAAGTTTAGCTATTTTAGTATTTTCTTCTTTAACACTATCAGACTCACTAGGTTGATTAGTTCGGTTCACATAACGTGATTGTCTTCCACTTTCTAAATTTAATGTAGACATAAGATCATACGAAAAGTTTATTTTTCAAAAAGATTTAAGAGCGAGCGTGGCTTATTCTTGTTCAATACGTATTTCTGTATTTAAGAATGTGTAGCTCATTAAGTGGGCTGAGATTGTTTTCATAGTGATAAACATTTCTCAAAACATTATAACTAGCGAGTTCAACCAAGCAGGCTTATTATTTGATATAAAATACAAATAAAGACGACAATCTAAAAAAAAGAAATCAATTTATAAGATAACATATTCATGAAATATGAGAACGTTGATAATTTATTAAAGAACTACACTTAATGTGAGAAATATGTGATTTAATTCCTTTTGAAAGATTCAAAGACTTCATACAGAGGAGCGAATATAATTTCACATAAATCATACTTCTAATCATTTGACCACTTTCTACCTGGAAGTCATTAAAGAAACCATATTTTTTATTATCATAAACCTATTTATTTGTTTATGATAAAATAATGTGTAATTCGAGAATAACTTAAATATATTGCTAACGATTTATATTTCTAAAATTTGAAAGATACGAGGAATGAATATACTGTACTGTATTGTGACATATTATGACCGATGCAATACTCCAAAGCTACTGGCTATATGATACTGAAGATAGGCATGTGAAAAATGAGAAAGCGACAGAACATAAATTAAATTTTAAAATTAAATTTCAGGTCTGAAATATTACTCTCAAGGACTGCTTACTGCTACGATTTTATACTAAGTACGTTGTTAGCTCAAATCACCTCTTATAAATTGAGGCAACTAGCGAAAAATAGTTATTAAATGCTTTGTATTCGATAACAAATATGAGAGGTAGTCACGATTATGCACTAAGAGGGATTTATGGTCTCGAATGGGACAACAATTAAATGTATATGGAGATACAAAATCGTTGGAATGTTCGTGTATGAACGAACTTGATTAATTGATATAAATCTGAACTGGCGATTTCCTAAAGGAAGATCGAGGCTATTTATACATTTTAATAACTATGTAATTTTGATAGATATATAATTAAATTATATAAAATAATAAAGATAACATCAATGCTAACATGATTAATTCTAGGGGTCTGCAACCCGGGCTTGTGCCTATGCCCAACAAAAGTTCAGGCATTGCCATAGGCATGAAAACTTTGGCATAGGCATGGACACTAGGCACAAAAAATTTGGCATAGGCATGACATAGGCATAAAAATTTTGGAATAGGCACAAAAATTTGGCATAGGCATGAGAATGGGCACAAAAAATTTAATATTTATTAATAAATTGTGCCTGGCACCTTTTTGGCATCTTTTTGGCTCTTTTGGAACCTTTTTGCCTGGCATTTGTGCCCATGCCTATACAAATGCCTGGTATTTGTGTCCATGCCTATAATAATTCCTGGCATTTTTGTTCCTATAGGCATGGGCATGGCATGAGACACTAGTGCCTAGCATAGTGCCAATATGCCTGGCATGGGCATTTGCGGAGCCCTAATTAATTTTGTCAAATTGAATAAGAGAAAAAAAATATAACTAATATTTGTAAGAAATAGTAAGAGCTCGTGTGGCACTGGACATATGTCCAACTATTTTTTATGTTATTGGACCGGACTGGACATTGGACATAATACTTGGACATATGTCCAGTCCAATATGTCCAATAATTTTAAAAAATGTAAAAAAATTTTTTGATAAAAATGTGATCTAACAAAAAGTTTTCCTTGGGTGATTTTACTATATATTTCACTAATTTCTAGCCCTAATATAACGAACTTTTTATAAATTATCTTCACGTGATCACAACTTACTTGGTGGATACTGTGGAGATTTTTGATTGGCTGTTTGTCACATGATTTATATATTACACAATCCAATACTTTTTGGTCCAATGGATTGGACTGTACTGGACATTGGACATGTCCAATGTCCAACCCAACACTGCGTGTGCCATCGGGTATTATGTCGGAAATTTCAATAGCTTTACAAACTGGTTTTGATAAATACAATATTGGAGGACCGATTATACTTGTAAAACCACAACAATAAAAAGGTTTTTTGACTAGTTTCGAGGACAATTAACTCAGTGATATCTTCGTGTTAATCACTTAACACTGGTCTAATTTATGCTGATTTGTAATGACGACAAGCTAGCTATAATTCCAGTCAATTTTTGTCATGATTTACAGTCAAACCTCTCTATAATCACACCCACGGGATACAAAAAAGCGTGATTATAGAGAAATAATTTATTATATTTAATAAAAAATAATCCTATAAAGAAAATGTGCATATATAGGAGGTGACTATAGAGAAGTTTGACTTTATTTGTCATGTTTTTGTTTGTCAGGGTTCTGTTTGAAGCGTCCCGACTTAACAAGTTTTCTAAGTGCATCAGAAATAAACGGTATTTCATCGTTCTTATAATCCGGGAAGTTACATTTTTCTACACTTCTGATTATTTTATGAAACTCATCACGATTAAATTTATAAAGTCTACAAGTATAAAATAAATGAATACATAAAGAAATTATTAATATTAATGTTTGCTTAATTTAATAAATTCAGTGTTTTTATTTTTAATAAAAATAGTAAATTATAATATTGATATTTACATAATCTCAGGAAACCAATTGTTTTTTCTCCTTTGAAAAGGTAACATGTAAACTCTATAATTATAAGATTTATATATATATATAATTAATTAATAAATAATAAATAAAATAAAATTATTACCTTTGCCTTTTGAAGTAAAAATAATTCAGTTCGGTCTGTTTCAGGAATAGCATTACACAACAAACCAATGAATAAATTCATCAAATAAATTGTTGTAAAAAAGGAAAAGAAAGCTATCAATAGTGCCAATGTTAAATTTTCAGTCAATGTCCAATTCGACAAATAGGTCGAATCGCCTATAAATAATTAGTCAAATTGATTGTTAAATATATACTGATAGAATAAATTTTCATTAAAGAAAATTAAAATACCTGTTAACATCATATATACAGCCAAGAAAGCAGTATTTAGAGATTTAAACATGTTTGTAGATGTATTAGGATGTTCGATAAGTGTAGCATTCTCAGAGTGCCATTTTCTGAAACAGAATAGTATTCCGTTACAAGATTCCATGGATTATTTGGGTCATTTAAATAACTAGAGTTATTTAAAAAAAACATTGGTCGTTGGTCGTAACAAAATATGTAAGGAATGTGAAAAGGTGAATATAATAAAAGCTATAATAGCTAAAAATTTAAAGGCTTTTTCCGCAACTCCGATAATCATTGCAAAATAATGTCCAAACTTTTCAATAACACGAAAAAATAATAAAAATTTAATTTCAAGAAATAATATGGAAATTGTCGCGCCCCAGACAGGAATTGTAGAAGATTCTAACCAATCGATGGAAGTATATACAGGAAATGATATTGCTACTACATCTTAAATACATATATTTATATGTCAGGTTAATATTTTTGCTAACGTTTGGAATTTTAAAATTTTAAAAAATTCAAAAATAATAATTAAATCTTAAATACAATACCAAACCAGTTCCAAGGATTTCTAATCCAATATGATGGAAAATAAGTAAATTGCCGAAATTCAAAAAAGAGATGTAAACTCCAAGAATTATAGTTGCGATTAATAATTGTTTCTGTGTACTTTTGGATAATTCATTTTCTATAGTAGCAACTATTAAAAAACAAATCATAAAAATTGAATAAAAAATACAAATAACTAGAAAGTAGTATTTTCCGTAGGCATTCCATTTGAAATTAATAAGAGCTTGACCATTATGCCACTTGTAAAGTTCAGAATATTCGTAATTAATAAAAGGACTAGAATCAGGAATAAATGCTTCCATAATATAATTATATTCACTAGTATAAGAACTAAATTTTGGTAATGGGAAAATTAATATAACAGATTCATTCATATCATCAGGCTTCTTTAAAATTTTTTTTTTAAACCGAATAAAAAATGAGGTTTTTTCTAATTCTTTTTTCAGAAAATAATAAAATGATTGAATAGTGTTTTGAAACCGTGTAATAATTTTATTATATAAAAAGATATTGGAAGGTTGTGGATAGCTTCCAAGACTCTGAAGATGTAATTTTGAGGAAGAATGTTCCATTGCAATATCTTTATTTGTGCTTAAAGGAATAAGCGAAGTATTTGATAAAAATTGTTTCAATAAGTCGGGATATTTCGCTGATAATTCATTAATTTTAAAGGTGACAATCTCTAATAATTTAATATTTGCTAATAAATTGATATCTTTTTCATCTTCTATTTTTTTATTAATATACTTTGTATACAATTGTTTCATCAATTTCCCTGTCATTATATAATCATTATTTTTTAAAATCTATTTAAAAGTATTTTTCCGCACAATGATAATGCCATTTTATCATCAATATAACCTTCTAGTAATTCATGAAAAAGGTTGGCATTGTTTTTATCAATTATATGTAAATTTTTGTCTTCGTGATATGCAGTAATTGTTTTAAAATCTGGTCACAGTAATGAACGATCTTTTATTTGTTTGAGTAATTTTTGAATATTATTTCTATTTGCAGTAAATACTTCATATTCTTCATATTCAGTTTTGTAGCTTTTATTATCTGGTTTATTTCGCTTTTTTTTCTTCAAATCTTCTATATACTTTTTATTAAAAGGGAATCCAGATCCTCTGTAATATCGCAATCTAATGTTGTCTTTCGGTTCGGTTCAATAGTCCAAATTGTCAAAATTATTAAGCCGATAGATGTAATCATTGCCAAATCTCCATTATCCAATAATTTACATCTAAAGACAAATCTTGGTTCTGAATCGCTTAAATATTTTAAATATTTTGAATTAATCTTCCATTCATCTACAGATTTCCAATCCTTCTCGGAAGGATCAAATTTCATGGCCTCTACTACTACAGTTAATTCTTTATCTTGTTCTACATTATCTTGTGTGTCTTTGATTAGTGTGTCTTTTCTTTGTGTTACGATCAATTTTACTAATAAATTTTTAGATTCATATGTCTGTCCCTCTTCATCTATATTTCTGTCAATAATAGAATCATTTTTATCAATTTCATCTATTTTATCTAATATATTTTGCAGAAAACCTTCTATTTGAGATTTTCTAGGTAGAGCTCTTATTTCACTATGATCTCCTAATTTTTCACGATCCATTGTGCTGCTTAGAAATTTCTTGGACCAAAATTTGTCTATCTGATACGACATAAACTTTTTTATTTTTAACTTTTTAAATTGTTCAGTGCCTTCATTTGAATTGGAAAGTTCTTTAAAAAAACTTGAAGCAGTGGGGTTATAGTCTTTATAGTATTTATATTGCTCAAGGTTGTAAGGGTCTCTTATTTCTAGACCATCATTTTCAAAAAATAAAAGTAATCTTTCTCCCTCATCGAATGAAATAAATTCAAAATTTTTTTTATATTCGCCTATTTAATTTATGCACAAATTAATATAAATAAATGAATATATATTTTTTATATGAATAAATTTAAAGAACCTACATTGTGATAAAAGCAGAGAATTTTCTGTCAAATAAACGGAAATAATTATATCATTTGTTTCTGAACTATCTGAAGCTTCAACTTCTAAAAATACCACAAGTAAAGTATTTTCTTCATTAAAAATGCCAATCATATTTATCACATTAAAGCGTGACAAATTTCTATTTGATCCCAATTGATATTGTTTTTCAAATAATAACGTTTTTAACTTCCATTGTGTTAATGTTCCATAGATATCAAGAAGTAGAAAGGTTTCAGTTTTATTACTGCTTATTAAATAATTCCACGCGAAATTTGTAGGTTCTATGAAAATCGAATGATTAATCTTCCAACTGTCATTGCTTAAATTTTCAACCGAAAATTTAAGAATATTTAGAATATAATTTCTAGGCGTAAATGCTTCTACTACAAAATCTCCATTATCATAAAATATACAATTTCCATGCCAATAATTTTCGATTGGCTCGTCTAGATATGACATTATTAGTTTTATTATTTTATTCTCTTTTTTATGATCAACGATCACTTTAAAAGAATAAATAGTTAAAATTTATTTCTGAATATTATAAGCATTTATCAATTATTTATTTGTTACTAACCGATTCTTCCTTCTTCGCTGCCATTGTACAAATGTATTGCAACAAGTTTATCATTCGAAACTCCGACTAAAACTGGATACCGCCACCTAGCTGTAGAAGTTTTCAAATTTAAATCCACGCAAATCTTGTTGACACTTATTGAACGATCAAACTCAAAAAGTTGAAGTTGATCATTTAATTGCCATCCACAAATTGATTTATCTTCTTCACTCCATGTCGCTGCGTACGTGTAATTTGGTGACAGCAAAAGTCCTTCAATTTTCTTGCCATTATGTGGTTTAGATGGTTCATATTCATATTCGGTGTCAATAATTGTATGTAAATTTTCATTTTCGCCTCTCATTTGTAAAGTATCTCTTACTTTGAAATTAATATATATAATTTATCTTTAACATTCTATGATTAAGATTATATTCTGGTTTTATGTGCTCTTAAATAAATTTGCAATTCATTAGGCCGTAGCCAGTCTTTCAAGTAAAAATAATAAAATTTCAGATATATGAATTTACAAAAAAATTTCGTAAAAATGCTTGGTTTGTATTGGTACATTTAAAAATATTTTGTAAATATTATTGCTTAGCATTGATTTTTAAATGTTAAACAAAACAATGTTTACCTAATAATGAAAGAAACTCGGTCATTTCAAGATAGTAAAATTCGTATCTTCTGACGAATATGAAAACTAAAATCAATATCAAAGCATTAAAAACCGCAAGTATAGCATATTAATATTTTCTCGTAACCACTGTTCATAAAATTTACTTAATTGGTCTATATCAAATACGTATGCTTAGTCTACGTTTAAATCCTCTTATTATCCCTTATAACTTTTCGCAGGCAAATTTGTTGCGAATTGCACTTTCTCAATAAATTATAATATAAGGGTATGTCATCATAAGGAAACTGTATCGTCCATTCGAAAGCTTTTTGAAAATGATATTCTTGCCAATACATGCTATATTTCTTCGCTTACCTATTGAAATCGCATTTTTTTGTACCGCATCAAATATGCGAAGCTCGACGTGTAAATACTGTATCAGTATTAATCTCATCAACTTTCGTATTGCTTGCATTCCTGCATTAACGTTAACCATAGCTGTCGTAACAAATTTGGACCGGGCTAAGAGCGACGATCAAAAATTAGACCGGAATTACTCGGAATTTTACTAATGAAATCATAACCTCCCACTAAGTGAAAGTTGTTCCTGGGCCAATTTTATAATAATGCAGGCTTATTTTTTAAAAATTTCTATTTGTAATGAAAACTTAAAAAGTTAATTCCGGCCGGAAATTAGTAACCAATCATGTAATGTGGGCCAAAATTTTGAAGATCCCGGCCGATAACCAATCAAAATCGAGGACCTGCCAATTTTGTTGTAGCAGCTATGGGATGCAAATTTGTATGATCGCTTTACATTGTAAGGTATGACCCTAGCATCACCACTCTAAAAAATTTCGCCACCAGAGTTAGGGTTAGGGTTTGGGTATTTTTAATTTAATTTTATGTTACACCCGATCTTGCGAAATTTTTTAGGTTGGGGATGCTAGGGTGGTTCATTGTAAGGGAATAACGATAAATGTTTTTAACGTTAATTTATTTTTTAAATGCACGGATAAGCAGAATTATTAATTCTGAATTTTTTTATCTATAATACCAAATTTAAGATTGCGGAGTGGTTGGGCACGTCATATGGAAATAACTAGTAACATGTTGCTAATTATTTTCAGTGATGAATTAGTATCACTTCCAGTGCCCAATCCTAAATACAAAGTAGAAATCAAATTATTCTAATCAGAGATATTGTAAAATGTATATTAAAATAGAGAATTAATATATAAAAATTTATAAAACAAAATAATATTTAATTAAATTAAGAGGCAGAAATAATTTGCTGAATCCGTGTAAATCTTACCAGAATAAATTTTATCGGAATGAATTTTATCAGAATAAACTTCATCGAGAATTACTTATCAGAATAAGCAATTTCTTCACTTTTTATTTGTATTAATTCTTACATAAATTTTTCAAGAGACTTAGATAATTCTAATAAGATTTGTTCATCACATTGCCATTTTGTAAAAGCTTCTACGACTTTATCTGCGGATGGACGTTTTTCGTTCAAACGTTATTCATTAAATTAGTATAACACGTTTCTGTATCTTCAAAGTTTTCTTCGAGAACTGGCGGTCTTAATTATCGAATACTATTTTCTCTTGCAAATGTAAGTCAATAATTATATTCCATAATAAATTTCTCACATAATTATCCCAAATTATGTATATAGCTTCCTATTTTTATCTTTAATATCATATAACTTCTATAGCTATAAACGATAAAATTCCATAAACCTCACCAGATTCAAATCTATATTAATTGTTATTAAAAGTCCTAAATCTGTAATATATCACTAGATAAACTTTCTAATAAGATGTTGCCACTATGTAAATCTCGGTGAATAAGTAGATCAGAAGCAATACAATCCAATAATTTTAAGATATCTTCCCATTCTACGTATTTGTGCCAAAGGGTCAAGATTACTGCGCAAAGAACTAATTGCATAACATCTTTTGATGATGGATTTTTATTGCCAATATTATAATAAACTTTTGCTTTAGTATCAAAAAATAAATTATTGTTGCAGCTGATGCTGAAATTTTGATTATTTTATTATTAAATTTTTATAATTTTTGGGGGTGCATTTTTTAGTCTTCATATAATAGTTTGAGTAGAGTTTAGGGTCAGGGTTAAAGTGTATACCGTATCCTATCGTGAATAAGCACTACACCCTCTACCCAATTTTTAAATGTCAGATTAGCGGAAATTGCAATGAAGTCTTTAGCCAAATTATTACCGCTAATCTGATATTTA